ATCATGGATTTAGCTTTTTCAAATGCTACTTTGGCATCGGAAGGTAACTTGAATATTTGGTTCTTTTCTTTCTTGGTACTTGATTTATCGTTTTTCAGTAAATCTGTCAATGGCTGTAGTACGTCGGCACAATTTGGTAGAAATCGTCGATAAAAATTACATGTTCCAAGAAAACGGCGTAGTGATTTTACTGAGGTTGGTTCTGGATAGCTGGAGATGGCTTTGACTTTCTCTTCAAGCGGTTTAATTCCTTGGGAATCAATGTGGTGTCCCAGGAATTCCAGAGATGAGGCGCCAAATATACACTTCGAAGGGTTGATTACAACACCATAACTTTTGAAACGTTCAAAAAGCGTGTGTAGGTGTTGAACATGTTCGTCAATGGAAGAACTAGCGATTAAAACATCGTCGATATAGACAAATACGAAATCCAGACCTCTAGTTACTTCGTCCATAAATCTCTGGAAGGTTTGAGCGGCGTTTTTTAGTCCGAAAGGCATCCTCAAGAATTCAAACAAGCCAAAAGGTGTGATTACAGCTGTTTTCTCGATATCCTCAGGTGCCATCGGTATTTGGTGGTATGCTCGGACTAGATCTAACTTTGAAAAAATCTGCTTTCCATGTAGATTTAAAGAAAAATCATGCAGGTGAGGGATCGGATACCGGTCTGGGATAGTCTGGTTATTCAATCGGCGATAATCTCCACATGGGCGCCAGTCTTGATCTTTCTTGGGAACCATATGCAGCGGCGAGGCCCAAGGACTGTTAGATTGTCTGATTATCCCAAGTTGCATCATATGTTCGAATTCTCTCTTAGCGAACTGCAACTTGTTTGGATGGAGTCTTCTCGCCCTGGCGCGAATAGGTGGTCCTGTAGTAGTAATACTGTGTTGGACATGATGTGTGGAGCATTCGTTTTGGTAATCAGCTCTGGTTATACTTTCATACTTCGACAGGATATCGGTGAAAATTTTGTTTTCAGGTCTTAACATTCGGACTCCATGAATTTCGTAACTGGAGAGAGTTGTGCCACTGACCTGTAAGCTTGTGTTTTTGTCGATTAGTTTCTTTTTTGCCATATCTACAAGTAGGTTGTAAGCACCGAGAAAATCGGCCCCGATAATGGGTTGTTTGATTTCAGCTACGATGAAAACCCATGTGAAACGTCTCCGGAGACCGAGATCTAAAATAAGTGATTGTTCGCCATAAGTTTTAATGACTGTGTTATTGGCTGCGACTAGAGACAATTTAGTACTCTGAGGGTGCCGTCGTTGAGAGAGGTGTAATGGGATAATGCTGATTTCGGCTCCTGTATCGACCAAAAAATCTGAGCCCGAAATTCGATCCCTGACATGAAATAGACGGCTCGGGTAGTGGCCAGAAACAGGCGCCGCCATCACTGTCTGGCCGGGTCGTTTCCCTGATTTTCTGTGTCAGACGCAGAAAATGTGCACGGTCGTGTACAACGCCGTGCTTTGGTGCCGTATTTTTGGTGGTACCAACAAACATCAGATGTTCGCTTCGGTGACCGAGACCGTTGTCTAGAAAAAGATCTTCGTCTGGAGGGGGATCTCGATTGTCTAGTTTGGATGGTTGCTATGGTCGATTGAAGTGACGCCAGCTGGCTCGTTAATTGTGTTAACTGCTTTTGAAAGGAGGCTAAACAGCTAATATCTGTTGATCCAGGTGGTTGCAATGAGTTCACACAGTGATTGTCGTGGTATACTTCCATCATTTTATCTGCCATGTCGGCTAAGTCATCAAGTGCGACGGATTTCCCTGAAACACTGAGAATTTGTCGAACGCTGTGTGGTAATCTTTGAAACCACATTTGCTTTAGGAGGGCTTCGTCTAGCTTGTATGGACCGGCGAGTTGTTTCATGTGGCGGAGAAGTTGCGAGGGTCTTTTATCACCCAAGTCACAAGATGTTAACAACTGTTGTAGCCTTTTCTCATCTGAGACCGTGGTGCGTTGAATAACTGCTGCTTTTATCTTATCATATGGTTCAGATTCTGGCACGTGATCGATTAAATCACCAACTTCAGCGGCAATCTCGATAGGAAGTGCGCCGACTACGTATGCATACTTTGATGCCTGGGATCTTATGCCTCTAGCCATGAATAAAGCTTCAATTTGAGCAAACCAGACTCTGGGATTATTAGCTCCATAAGTTGGGAGTCTGAATTCTGAGATAGAATTAACTGAACTAAAATTATTTTCGGGAGAGTTCGACAATGAGACAAAAGTTGTTACTGGAGGCGAATCCATATCAATGAGTTTAGTGGGAGAGGACATTACGAGAAAAAAATAAACCAGTAAATTGTATGAAATGAAAAACAAAATAACCGTTAGGATAAACACGAGGCTCACCAAATAATTGTGGTGGACCAGACAAATATGAACGCAAAAAGTATAAACAAAGTTACTAAAGATAAATAATAATATTAATATATATACAGTTAACTGTTACAAATACAATAAAAATTAAGGACGTTACTTAAATTGCCCAAACGTTGCGTGTTCTGATTAGGTCCAGTAATGTAAATCCACAATTATAAATGCTTGATGACTCTGAGCAGGTTGGCGAACTCTCTAGCGATATAGTCCAACGTAGGATGTGATATATTCCGATTACAGTCTATAAATGTAGATAGTATTTGATTTAGACTTCCGTTAACTCAATCACAAATGGTAATAGAACGAGGAATGCGAGAGTAGTAATGTATTTGTTAGTCGGCAAGAATATACCACGCTATGTAGTAGCTCAACGGAAAGTGTCTTCAAGGTCAATGACTTAAACAACGGGTACAATCATTTAATGATAAATGTACATGCAGTGGGAAATTGACAAAATAAATACAAATAATATTAAAAACTATTTACAAAATAAGCTTGCCAGGTCTATCTCCACAGGTATTTCGATTGTAGACGTTTTCGACGTAATTACCAAGTGAGTAAATTTATGATTATTTATAAATAAATGGGTATAAGAGTCAAGTTGATGAGGTTGTGAACCCTTATTGACTAATAAAGTAGGGATATACGTTACCCATGACTTTCTACCTCACACTCCGGTATAATATGCTGATAAGTATATGTTGGAAGAAATAAACAGAGTTTCAAAGTTAAACATAACATAAATCCATCACTGACTTCTGGTCTGAATAGTGTAGAAAGGTTTGGACTTGAATGATTAAACCCAAATAGTGATTTTAATATGTATAATAAGAGAACGATGGAGATTAGCAGTGGAATTCAAGATGTGAGTTTTATCCTGCATTCACTGCTAATCATCATCCATCTCTGCTTAATGGCAATATCAGGGCAATCCACAGAGGATTACATATGTTAAAAAATAGACTGATCAATTGCAGTCCTAAAAATCAATGGAGGATTCAAACGACCAGTACGAACCTTAATCTGTCACTAGACTTTGAGCAATATGATTGTAAATCAGTCGAAATGGTGTTATTATATTTAGTTCCATCATAGTAAGTTTATTTATTTCAATGAAACTTAACATTCTCCACAGCTCCACACTAATAGTCATCATGTGCTCACCTGTGACTAGCTTCGAGAGGTAATTCTTGGAGTTCTAATGAGAAGCCGTGATTAGTAGACTTCAACCGTGTTGAATGTGAGTCAGTTGCCCACCGAAGACAATAGAAGACGGTCGCGCAATATCGTGGGTTGGTTGAGGTGAGATATTAACAAGGTTGGATGCCGGTTCAGTAGTCCAGAGGTTAAGCGTATATGAACTAGTCCGTCTCATGGGACCGTAGGTGCGCACTACCGAGGAAATTCATACTAGGTTGGAACGGTCATCCGTTGCCTCCAGGTTTTCAACAACGATATTCTGGCTTTCATTATTTTCTTGGCACTGTGCTGTTTTGAATTGTCACGACATGTGTTGATTTAAATTTAATAAAATTCTGTGTTTTTCATGACTGATTGATAAATTACCTTTGTCAAGATGAAGTTATTTTATGAAAATTATTTTAATCTGTTGGTGGTACTCGTCAAAAACTGGTTTCAGTTGGAGTATCATCACAAACTATAAAGCGCCAGTTACCCAGTCAGTACCGGTATGGAACTTCACGCACGATTCCACCGTGGGACCAAAGAAAAAACCCTCAGGTCTAGTGGTTAGTGCCTAAACATTAAGTTTCAATAGTAGCCCAACTGATATCCGGTCATGATGAACACCATATACACTTTATTAATGTATTGGGTAGTCTGGTAAAGAATGACTGTTCCTTTGTGAAAATCATTCAGATTACTTATTCAAAATAGTCATTAGGAAATTGTGATTATTTCTACGAACTGTCAAAAAATGACAACCATTCCAGCATACAATAGAACATTGAAACGACAACACAAGACAGCAAACAGTGAAGCATTGAAATGACATCAAAAGACTTGGAAAAAAGTAGTAGAGAGAAACACAAAATCATAAATTGGGCTGCATTCATTTCAGTAAAAGTAGTTGCTTAAAGTACAAAATGAAATTCTTTTGTTTCACTAATAAATTTAAATAATTTTTCACACCGATATGACTGCATTATTAAGCGATAGTTGATATTATTCACTGTGAGATGGTTGTTGGAGGTAGTTGACAGGAGACCCTGAACCCGGGTTTCGTGCTATTTGACACTTATCAGCAAGGCGTACCTGTAATCTTGACGGAACTGATTCTCTCTGATGCATTCGATCCCGTGTCACCTAGATTCACAATCAGAGACGTTACCACTGAGCTATCCGGGTTGTGACTGGACTCTTGTAAGACTGAGATGTAATTACAATTGATTGATCACTGGGTGGTAACCAATGTCATGTGTGTCAGATCATTATTAGTGATCCTAACGACCAAGTTGTAATGTGGCCACTAGTCTAGGGGACTGAACATTGCGTGTACTATGTCGCAAATTATTCCCTGTTCACTTCTGTTTACTAAATATTTTGTAACTATGATTACAACGTTGATAATTAGAAATTAAAATAAACTTTTGAAATGACTTTATTTGTTTTCTACTGATATCCATGATCATTAACAACAACAACAACAACAATTACAATAGAGAAAATTGTTTACCGGCAAACGTTTCACTTTATTTCAAGTATTAAATTATGTATTGAATAATCAAACAGAAAGTAGGCCACTGTTCCCCACTCACTCACACACACGTCTATAGTAGAATATACAAACAGATGATACATTTCTTTTGACATATACACATAATGATGAGGTATAAACGATTGATAAACAATGATCAGACAATTGTGAATCAAGGCATAAAACATAAGTCACTTCAATGTTCAATTACTTTTAAGTGAGAATAAAGGTGACACAAGAAATTTCTTGTAAATAATAGATAAAACTGTAAAACAAATGCGTTTGAGTCAGTTTTCATTCATGAAAATAGACAACTGAGGACAAGAGTATTATCATTATTATTACAAAACTACGAAAGAAACAATGCAGAATTGAAATACTTTATGGTATATTACATCAGAATAATTAATTAGTAACTCTAAAGGTAGAATATGGAATGGTAGTAATAGTAGTTATAAGATCTGTTATATGATAATAGATAGTACCATATACTTTACTTTCTTACTTCTTCTAACATGAAATGAATGAATGCTTTTTAACATTATTCTTAATCGTATATTCAAGTATTAGTTTGTATAAATGAAGAAGAAGATGAAATCATGTTTAATGATATATCTCTGTCTTGATCAAATCTATTCATTCTGTCGATAGGATCTGTGTAATTCGGATATCTATCAATATTCAAATCTAAATTTGATCCTTCTGCTAGTATTGGTAGTCGATCTCGTATAGATCCAGGTTTTTGTGATATAATCCTTCGTGTTGACCAATCTGTCCCGAAAGGTCTATTGTGTAAAGTTAATCCATTCTCAGGTTTATGGGCTGATTCATTACATTGATCTAAAGAGGATGATGGTCGATAACCGAACTGAATTGCGTTTCTTGAATGATTATGTAACTGTTGTGGATTCACTGGAATAAAAAGAAATACTTGTAAGACTTAAGTGGAAATATTCAAGATATTCAGAAATATTACTGTTGAAATACTGAAATGAACTTATCAATTTAAGGTAATTCAGTAATCAAACATAAGAGGATGTTGAATCATATGTTTTATGAGTTTGTATTTGTGTATGGTTGGTTTACTCAAAGCAAGATAGGTAGGTAGATAATAATTTAAATATCTATGTAGCTTTAAAATTGAAAATGAAACGGAGAATATGGAAGATAGTCTTTGTTAGTGAATTCATTGGTAAGCTGACAAATCATAAAACGAATACATCATATTATGTTTAAATAAGTCAGTATTCTTATAGTTGAATTTATGAGTCAATTGAAGCTAGATCACCATGGAAAACCTGGAAGCATTGGATGGCCGTTTCGTCCTAGTATGGGACTCCACATCAGTGTGCATCCACGATCCCGCTCCGCGATATTCGAACCCAGGACCTATCAGTCTCGCGCGCGAATGCTTAACCTCTAAACCGCTGAGCCGGCATTAGTGCCAGCTATTACTAAAATCTCCACAAAACCCCATTCTGATAAGTCAGTATTCGTTGAAATGTGTGGTTACGTTCTTTTTTTACTAATCCAAGATGTAGTTACCAGTTTAATAACCAGTTACGTTCATTGATGTACTAGAAAAGTAACCTAAGGAAAGAATGAAACCAGCAGTTCATTGTTGTTATTGTAGATTATCAGGGTATTTATGAAAAATTCTGCTGCGTTATTTCCTCACTTCCTGAACCACTTAAATTACAAATGATCCACTTAAATATTCATTAAGTGGTTAACCTTATTATGACGTAATCTTTGGTGTTTCTTATTTGAATGATTTATCATAGTGTCGAACTGTTTTAAGAAATCAAAATCTTGAACTTGGGCTCAAACCTTTTCTTCATATGATAATATGTCCACAATATTGATTGAATTTATTTTCAACCTCTTACTTGCTTACTTACTAACGACGGTTACCCCTCACCGAGGAGCATAGGTCACACACCAGCAGTCTCCATCCAACCCTGTCCTGGGCAATCCTTTCTAGCTCCGTCCAGTTGCTATTCATCCTTTTCATATCTGATTCCATTTCGCGACATAATGTGTTCTTTGGACTTCCATTTCCCCACTTCCCTTCACAATTCCAAGTTAGGGCTTGCCTCGTGGTGCAGCTTAGTGATTTCTTCAATGCATGTCCTGTCCACTTCCAACGTTTTTTCTTAATTCGCTCTCCAGCTGGAAGCTGGTTTGTCCTCTCCCACAGAATGGTGTTGCTGATGTTACCCAACCAATCGATGTTGAGTATCTTGCGTAGACAGCTATTTATAAATACTTGTACCTTCTTGATGATGGTTGTGGTAGTTCTTCATGTTTTAGCTCCTTACAGTAGAACTGTCTTGATGTTGGTATTGAAGATCTTGACTTAGATATTGGTTGAAAGTTGTTTTGAGTTCCAAATGTTCTTCAGTTGTAGGAATGTGGCCTTTGCTTTGCTAATCCTTACCTTTACGTCTGCATCCGATCCTTCTTGTTCATTGATGATGCTTCGCAGGTACGTAAAGGGTTCCACATCTTCCAGAGTTTCGCCATCATGTGTGATTGCGTTAGTGTTCTCTGTGTTGTATTTGAAGATCTTGGTTTTTTTCCTTGTGTATACCGATGCCTACTGATGTAGAGGCTACTGCTACACTAGTTGTCTTCATCTACATTTGTTCGTGTGTATGCGATAGAAGGGCCAGTTCATCCGTGAAGACCAAATCTTCTAATTTATTCCCAGCTGTCCATTGTATTGAATTTAAAACTGTAAATCATTGTAAGATATTCCAATAGTATAAAGGTTAAGAGTCTACAAGAGATCTATAAATTCTCAGTTTGATCCTCCATTGGACAAGGGATGTATACAGTTGATGAGACACGTACTAAGATGAAACAGTTGTACAAAGTTTCTTGATTTACACCATTTAAATAACATCAACACTTCCTAAGTATTTCTATTTAAAGTTTACAGATAACTATTGAGTATGCCATAAAAAACTGTTTAGCAAAAACAGACAACTTATTTTTTCAATAGTTAAGATCATGAGTCCATGGAAGCTAGATCACTATGGAAAACCTAAAAGCACTGGATGACTGTTTCGTTCTATGTGTGCATTTGTAATTAGTGCTCATTGATATAAATGATGTAATACATACACATCATAGATGTCAATATGATCAACTTACCATGACTTGTTGTTAATGGAGATTTTAAATCAATCATTACATCATGAGTAAAATTTTGTGAACGATTCTCATAACAACCATTATTAGCTAAATGTGAAGTTGGCAATATATAACTATTACCAGTTTGTCCATAATAATTTTCTGGAATAGGAATATGTTCAATGTTTTGATCTCTTTTATAATAATCATTAATTGAAATTGGCGCTGTATTCTCTTTTACTGTATTATGTATTCTATTTTCATGATTTGAATGATTGACTGAATGAGAAGTTTTCTATAGAATTCATTTAGAAATATAAGAAGTATGTTAAGTTATGAACATTGATTATTGATTAAAGTAGTGAATATAACATATTAGAGTTTATAGTATGGAAACGGTGCCTGAGTAGCTTTCCTATTGGATAATGCTAATGACCCCCCCCTATGTTCGGATTGGATAACTATAATGATGATTACGTTTTTACTAAAAAAACTATAAATACCTGACAGTCTGTACCATAATTGACACTGTTTGGAATAACATTCCTTTCATTTGTCTTTTGTTTTCTCATTTGTGAATTAGAAGGGTTCTAGCGTTTGAGTGCTCAAGTTCTATGCGGCATATTAAGAATCTAAGCTCTAGATATAACACATAGATTAAAGATATCTGAGATAAAAACCTTTTATTCTTTGTTTAAATGAAACGATTGACAGAGGTAAAAAGATCATTCGTTCATTTTCAACTCATTTCAAGACTATGAATCAAAGATTCTATATAAGAAATAAATAAAGATCTAAATTTTTTCATGAAAGTGAATCATATGATCATAAATGAAAAAGTAAAATCCTTAAATACAACACAGAGAACACCAACCCAATCACATTTGATGGAGAAACTCTGGAAGATGTGTAAACTTTCACGTAACTGGCAAGCACCATTGATGAACAAGGAGGACCTGATGCAAATGTGAAAGTAAGAATCGATAAAGCAAGGGTGGCATTCCTACAATGGAATTCAAAACAGCTATCAACCAATATCAAAGTCACAATTCTCAGTACGAATGTCAACACAACTAGTTCCACTGTACGGAGCTGAAACTTAAAGAACTACGACAACCATCATCAAGAAGGTACAAGTATTTCTAAACAATTGTCCACACAAGATACTCAATGTCCGTTGGATGGATACCATCAGCAACGGCTTACAGTGAGAGAGAGAGGGAGCAAACCAAGTTCCAGATGAATAGGAAATTAAGAAAAGACGTTGGAAGTGGATAGGACATATATTACGAAAATCATCAAACTACTTGACGAGGCAAGTCCTAACTTAGAATCATGAAGGGAAGCAGAAAAGATGGAAATAGAAGCAGATATGAAAAGGATGTTTAGCAACTGGAAAGAACTGGGAAGGATTGTCTACGACAGTGTTGAATGGAGAGTGCTGGTGGGTGATCCATGCTTCTCCATGAGGGTTAACATGCGTAAGCAAGTAAGTAAGAATCATACGATTCAATGGTCCGCGGTTGGTAGTTTACAACTTCAGTTAAATACTCAATGTCTATCTACCTCATTTAAACATGTGAAGCTTCTAGGTTCAATCATGTAAGCATTCATTAATGTTTACTACTTAAGAAGAAGAAGTATTTTATTGGATATTCATTAATCGATGGAAACCGGTTAACTTTTTTATAGAATACTAGTTCTTACCGTTTGTGAATCATGTTTAAATAAAGATTTGTTTCGTCTTCTTAAGTGTCTTCGACTAGAAATAAAAGGATAATATGAGGCATATAAATATATATACGCATTGTATAATAAATATTGAAATAAAGTTAACATAAATTTTATACTTAACTTGGAATCCTGAAGGGAAACGGAAAAGAGGAAGGCCAAAGGACACGTTACGTCGAGAAATAGAAGCATATATGAAATGGATGAATAAGAACTGGAAGGAGCTGGAAAGGATTGCCCAGGACAGTGTTGGATGGAGAATGCTTGTGAGAGGCCTATGCTCCTTCACGAGGAGTAACAGGCGTATGTAAGTAAGTAAGTATATTTCATACTGAAATGCTAGATAGTTGAATATAGACAAAAGAAAACTGTGGATCTAAGTTTTATGCTAGTTGACATTTCTCAGAGTGGAGTATCAGTAATCGTTAGAGAACTGAATGCTCTCTGCAAGAATCAAACACATATCATCCAGCGACATAATCTGAAATGTTATCACTGAGTTAATCAGGCTGTAGCTGACTCCTTGTAGAAGTGAGATAGTTACAACTAAGTGATCATTGAATAATCATTAAAATCATATCTATCCAATCTTTTAGAACGGATAATTGTTAACTTGTACGAATCATATTCCCAGGGCTTTCTGTTGGCTACCTCTAGTCATCTAATATATCAATGCAATGGAAATGATATCAAGTCAATTAGACCAATTACTACAATGAAACCTTATTGATAAAATTTCATTAGCATGTAAAGGGCTAGACAAACATAATATTGGTCACTATTGAATCATCAATCAATTGTAATATTTTACATTGAATACACTATTTAAAAACAATCATCATTATTATCGTCAAAGCAACTCAATTACTCTACAGTAAATGAACAAAATAGTATGATTTCAGTAGTTGAGATCATGAGTCAATTGAAGTTAGACCACCATAGAAAACCTGGAAGCGCTGGACGGCCGTTTCGTCCTACTGTGGGACTCTTTAGCAGTGCAGAGCATCCATGATTCCTTACGCGGGACATAAGTGTTGAATGGTTAATGACACAAACAAGGAAGTATAATGATAAGTATTTCGGGCCTACTAATGTACACCTATAAGGTGTAATTGAGAATTTAGAAAGGCTGATATCACTTAAACCATTTATACAAGAATCTTTTATTACATCAGTGGCAATCATATTTAACATAGAGATACTTGATCAATGATTTGCACTTTTAAAAATTAGATTAAGAATACTAATTCTCATTATATCATATATATATATAATGTATTTACACCAAAGCTTTCCGCTTGACTCTATAAGATCATACATCTTGATTCAGAACTATTCTTTCTCCACATTGACTTCAGCTCTTACATAACACCACTTTCAAATTATGGAGTTATACTCAAGGAAGAATCATTTCACAAAATAAAGATTAACATCATTACTTGGTGTTGTTTTACTTGTATCTTCCCATTGTTAATTAGGACTGTAATATATCAGTCACATGTTGGCATATGTGCATCCTGTGAGGATTGCCTCGATATAGTCTTAAGTCACAAACCTCTAAAATAGAGATGGATAGTGGCTAAAAGTAGAATCCAAGATATCAACTATGAGATACAGCTAAATCCAGTTGACGAGTCCCAAATAGGACGAAACCCGTATCCTGGATTCCACTGCTAACCACTATCCATCCTTCAATAACATCATTAGTTCTAAATTAACCATTACAATTAAAAAGATCAGAAAATGTATATCATTTGAAGTTACACAAATAGTTTACATTATAACAATAAAATATAAACAACATACTGCATGCTTTTTTGTTGACATTTCCATATTCCATAAAATGTTAAAACACTCATTAATGCACCAAATAATGTGAAAAATACACCACGTAATGTAAGTGTTGTAGTTAATGCATGCAACATAGATTGTAGATCATTTCCACGAGATTCAGAAAAAGCTAATTCCAAATATAAAGAAGGGGGAGGGAGAGGGGGAGGGGGGAATTGATAGAAACAACAATATAAGTTTCACATGTATTTATAAACAGACAACATTGATATACACTAATCTATTCAAATGAATATATGAATTATAAGCAAAGATGGATAGTGGCTAGCAGCGGAATCCAGGACGCGCGTTTCGTCCTGGATTCCGCTGCTAGCCACTATCCATCTTTGCTTATAATGCTTGTAAATTAAGGCAATATTGAGGCATACGCACAGTATGCACATATGCCAATAAGAGACTGATCAATTTCAGTCCTAAAACATCAATGGGAAGATTCAAGTAAAACAATACCAAGTTAATTAAATATACGAATTGAATAGAATAGTAACTTAATTTTGCAGTGTTTATGCCACTTAATGAAATGGTTAAACTACTTGGAAAGAGCTATAAACTTTCTTCTAATATTACATGAATATAGTTCTGTAATCTCAACAGAAAAACATGAATGACTCACTTCGTATACTTATTCAACAGATCATATGTATACTTTGTATAATTTCGATGAAGTTTTGTTCTTTGAGTTGAATGGTTTAGTCATGAAGCTTTCATCGTTCTTCTAAACGATGTACTGATGATGTCCTTCAGAAGAACAATGAAAGCTCCATGACCAAACCATACATCTCAAAGACCAAACTCCATCAAAATAATCCACCTAAGCTACAAATCTTCTCCACTTTGTACAATCAATGTTACCAAACCAACTACCATAACACATCAAAACACATACTCATTCACATATCAACTAAGTACACATTGAAAATGAATGATTTTTATGAAGATGATAAAATGATAGTGAAAGTGTTATGTAACAACAAAGTAAACTATTTCAGATTATAAATGATATTCCTATAGCATACTAGACTAAATGATGTAATAATTATAATAGATTGTTAAGAATGGATGTATGAAATGATTTGTTGAACACATCTTATGCTATACAGGGATTGCTACATGAATTTGCTTAGCAAATAATATTGTATTGTATTATAAAGTGATATAAACTACTGTGTTTTTTTGTACAAATTAACGTAAGTTACATGATAGTTCGATCATAGAAACAATAATTTAAAAAGCCAACACATTTTGATGGGGTTTTGTTCACTGAGCTGCATGGTTCGGTCGTGGAGCTTTCATTGTTTTTCTGAACAACATCATCAGTACAAACTTCAGGTAGAAATGAACTGTCAACAATAACCAATCAAGATCGAGGTCTAAAAAACGAACTGTGAGCCATATGAGGAGAAGTTCAAACACTTCACTTCTAGCTGAAGGTTGTGTTGATGATATCTTTCAGAAAAATGATGAAAGCTCCACGACCAAACCATCCAGCTCAGAGAACGAAACTCGATTGAAATCATTCACTTGTGCTTCAAATCTTCTCCACCATTTCAGATTAACACACTGACAAGTAGTATTTTTTTATTAGTTGAATTCATGAGTCGATTTAAGGTACACCACCATGGAAAACCCGGAAGCAGTGGATGACCGTTTCGTCATAGTATGGGACTCCTCAGTAGAGGGCATCCATGATTTCGCAAGAGGGACTAGAACACTGAACCTTAGCCTCTAGACCACTAAACCGGTATCTAACAGTGTTAATGTCTAGCTTCAACCAATTCACTATATCGAGCGGTCGTCCACCATTGTCTTCAGTGAGTAACTGCCTCTATACAACAGACACGGTTGAACTCCACTGGTCACCGATTCTCACTAGAACTCCAGGAAATACTTCATGAAGCTAGTCCCTAGTGAACAGATGATGATATTGATCAAAATGGGGTTTTGTGGAGATTGTAGTAATTTTTACTAGTTGAAATCATGAGTCGGTTAAAGTTGGACAACCATTAAACCCTATTCTGATAAGAAACAACATTAGTTTACTGTAATCATATCAGAACGCGATATTGATATTAACTGACGAACTCATGGTTATGTCCATTGAGATTTTACAGTCACCATAGGTAGAAGATACATTTCATTATTATTTATTCAACTATAATTTAAATTGAGTAATGCTTCTTAAACAATCGTTTTCATTTGATGAAAACGTTTTGTGAATTGATACTGCATTAATATGTAATAAACAATGTACAAACTAGGACTGACATGAGGTAATGAATCATCAAGATAAACCAAAATATCAGGTTAAAACTATCGAGACGAATAAATAAAAGGGGTTGGAATAATAATCATAAATATTAAACATTGGGGATATGTTACGAGAAGGGATGGAAAGGTGTGTATGAAAGAATACTAAAACTCAATATATATAGGAAGATAAAGAATAATTACGTCTGCTTCATCGTGAACGATTCCGCACTTACTAACATAACTCACTCAAGCAATTAATGATTTCATGGCCTGTTACAACCTTGGACCACCATTAAGAGACCAGGTAGGTGGTGGATTGGTCCTTGTAAAACATATTCCAACTACCTAGATTGAAGAAGAGCCAGAATCTCATCGACAAACGTTCCACATTCCCTTAGTAACGTTCTTTGATGTTAGTGCTTTCCACTTATTTGTCCCCATATGCATGAGGAGTGCTCCTAAGCTATTTATGATTAAAAACCTGCAAGTCATATTTCAAAGTTGTGGATTAATATAGAGATAACTGTTGTGCAGTATAAACTTTCTTTGATTAGCAGATGGACACTTCCCGTACGCCATACATGACGCAAGTTGATATATAAGAATAATTGATGAGTTAAGACTTCTCAATGACATATAGTCTCTTTTTGATTTGGAGTGAACAAGCTATAAACCTAAATGAAGGCAAACTAAGCTAGTTTAGGCTGTATGTATGTTGTTCGAACGATCTAGTCTTCAGCAATACATATAAAATCCCAGATATCTAACTCATCACATGGCTGAAGTCAATCCAAAACCTTCACACAATTCCGTATCATCGCTAAACCTGCTTGATTAGGACAGACCTTTTCACAAATAGATAATAGGTAAGTTAATATGATTGTGATACCAACTTTTGTAACGAAGATACTATCTTTAAAATGAAATCCTAAAGAAGGCGCCAGTTTGTAAAAGACAAGATTATTGGCATCTGATCGAGAAATACTTTAATATAAGATACTTAACATCCCAAATAATGCGTGAAATTTGGGTGAAGCTACAAATAAATGTTTTAGTTAAATGATAGTATTCAGATTAAGAAATTTATGTTAAAAAGATATACTACTTAATAACTCAAAGTAACACAAATACAACATCAAAATATATTGCGAACAACATCAACTAAGCGATTCATTTCAAGGGCCATAAGTTTAAAGAAAAAGATCAATCCATGCAAATATGAGTAGATTATATAATCCCACCTACCAAATAATTATTAATATAGTCCCTAATAATATTACTGAAAGCACAAATAAGGCGCCAAATAACACTAACAATTTTGTTCGTTGAGATAAAGTAACTTCTAAAACTGAAATAGAGCTGAAATTCAGTCGAAATATCAACAACAGAATAATTCAAATCATTACAAATCATATTCAGACCAATAAAATATACAACAGTAGGCGGAATTATAAAAACGTGATCCCTGGTTTCTGGATCGTGTTCACAAAATTAATTTAGTTTACATACTAATATCTAAACATTAATTTACGTAATTTAATAGTTGAATTCATGAGTCAATTAAAGCTAGACCACCATGAAAAACTTGGAAGCATTGAACGGCCGTTTCATCCTAGTATAGGACTTCTCAGCAGTGCATGTCCATGACTCCACCTCACGAGATTCTAACCCAGGAACTATCAGTCTCACACTCGAGCGCTTAACCAGTGCATCCAGGTCTAGCTTCAATTGACTAATAAATTCAACTATTAAATTACTATAGCATCCACAAAAACCCTTCTCTGATTAATTTATGTACTGGATAAATTGTTACGAATAAAATTTCAATTATTCAATCACTTCTACTTAATGGACATTGAACCGATTTAGAACCAGACTTCATTTCTTGAAAATAAGTATTGATATTGTTAGCGGGACATAGATTAGATTAAATCATGCTCAATGCACGCTTGCGTTGGCGCACGCTGATGGGATAAGAATTAGTTTGTTGTAATTAATAAATTGAACGGATAGGTATACAAATCATTGGTATCTATGATCTTCTCCTTCTGACCTAGACAAGGACATATAGACTCAGACCTTGAGTAGAATTACAATTAGGTTTCTCCGATAACATTTCTCGTTTATAATCTTTCATCTACTATTAGACTTTTAGATGGGAATGTGAGAACAGACATATAATATGCTTGGACTTCCCCACTTTATCAACTTTAAAGCCATTGAATAAGAATCATACATGTGGTTTAGGGTCACACTATTAGTCCATTTTTAGTGTGATAATAACCTATGACTTTGTATTTCATATAAAATTCAACAAGACTAATGACTACGATTGACTGAGTAATTACTGGCATCATATTTGCCACATCCTTTAGTGTTGTTCGGATTCTACCGATCAAATTACAGTCTGATCACTGGTCTAAGGGACTTAAGATTGAGTAAACTATTTTGAGATATTCGTTGATTAGAGGTAATTGACAGAAAACTTTGGACTTATGCTTCATACTACTTAATACTCGTCAGCAGGCCATACCTTTGATCTTGAAGGAAATTGGTGTTCCCTGATGAATTCGAACCAATATCATATAGTTTCATAGTTTAAGACATTAAGACGAAGCCACTCTAGATAGCATACTGACGAGCATAAGGTAACACGAAACCATCTAATAAAGTGACAACTTTTCATTTATCCATATGAACTGCACTGTGAAGCGATGTTTAAGACGAAGAATCACTGGAAGTCTACTTTGTCATAATATGGAACTCCTCTTCTCTATGAAATACTGAACCCAGGGTATTCATGTCTATCGATCAGAGCTTTAGAGATCATACACATATTGATAAACAAAAGAAAGACTCATGTTCAATAATATAACAATAGGCATTACAAAGTCACCTTAAATGTTCTCAGCTACAAATTTTTATAACTTTGAATATTTCCTTCACATCAGGAAGGGAGTTTTGTAGAGATTGTAGTAATTGTTAATAGTTGAATTAAAGCTAGACCACAATGGAAAACCTTGAATCACTATATGGCTGTTTCATCCTAGTATGGAACTCTTCAACAGTGTGCATCCACGATCCAGTTCACTGGATTTGAACCTAGAAATTTCGGTTTCAGACTAGCTTCAAGAGGTATTTCTTGAAGTTCTATTGGAAAGCCATGACTAGTGAAGTCAAACTGTGTCTGTCATGATACAGTAATTCACTGAAGACAATGTTGAACAGTAATACAATGTCGTGGATTAGTTAAAGTTAAACATGAACATAACATTGATGTCATTAACATTTATATAAAATGTCAATCATGATTGGGGAAAGAAAAAAACTTATAAATTGATCCATTCAAACAATGAAATACATTGAAAACATACATTTATATTCATTTAAATCAACTGCCACACGTTCACATTTTGAACCAAAATATGGTGTATAGCAACTAAAATTTTATGATCATTGTTTAGGGATAATTTCAATTTTTGTGTATGTGTATGTGAGTGTGTGTTTGTTTCAATGGTTAATTAAATAGTGTAACACAATGATAATTTAATCAATATAAATATGTATATGAGGGGATGAGGGTTGGAAGGGAATTTTAAATATGGATTGAGATTTACATATTTTAGTGTATAAGAGAAATGGAAACAAAAGAAAATCAATTAATCACTAAGTATAAAAGAAAAAGATAATGTTAGATGATAAATAAAAAATATGATTGGTGAAATTAGAATTTATGGATGAACCAATCAGATTTGAGATAATTGATTTTGGATTTTAGCGCCAAATCCATTTTATTCATTTGATGAAATACCATTTTAGCATGTCAGTTCGCGATGGGAAATCATAAATCTTGAGAATAGATGGTGGTTGGAGGTAGTCGACAGGAAACCCTGGACACGGGTTTCGTGCTACTTGGCACTCGTCAGCAAGGTGTACTTGTAATCTTGAGGGAACTAGTGCTCCCTGGCGAATTCGATCTCGTGTCACCCAGCTTCACAGTCAGATAGCTCAGTGGTAAAGTCTCTGACTCATTGCAACATGATCGATAGCATTCGATCTGCACTAATAAGGACTGGACACACATCACATTCATCGCCACCCAGTGATCAATCAATTGTGATTACATCTCAGTCCTACAGGAGGTCGGTCGCGGCTCGGATAGCTCAGTGGTAACGTCTCTGACTGTGAAGCTGGGTGACACGAGATCGAATCCGCCAGGGAGCACCAGTCCCTTCAAGATTACAGGTAGACCTTGCTGACGAGTGCCAAGTAGCACGAAACCCGGGTTCAGGGTTTCCTGTCGACTACCTGCAACCACCATCTAATCTCAATATATGGTGCCCGCAGTGTCGAGTCACCTAGACTGGTGGCCACATTGCATTCGATCTGTACTAATAAGGACTAGACACGCATGACATTGGTCGCCACCCAGTGATCAATCAATTGTGAAATCATAAATCTAATTCTCAAACTTAACATCCAACTGTAAATTATAATCCTAGTTCATTACACTAATGCAATCACTTTAAATAAATAGCTGAACATTCCCAAGATCCTTTTAGTGTTGCTCAAAGGTGGTTATCCATAAATTATAGTCTCACCAAATAATCTTTCTGTTAATAGTAATCAGTTAGACAGTTAGGAACTGTGATTTAATATGAATTAGTATTATTACGACTATAATAGGTGTTTAGGAATGTTGTTAGATAAAGCTAGAAGCAGAAGAAGAAGCAGTAACAACAATTTGTTAAGATAAACACTATTACTTACCATACAGTCCATCGGTATGAAAATGACATCGATCACCGAAATAATAATCGAGACACCTTCATTTTTTTCGAAGATTTTTTTTGTTTTCAAAATAACAATAAATAGTTAGAATAAAAAACGACTGAGTTGATTTTGTTTTGACTGTTTTATTGTTCAGAGTGTGCTACCTTTCATTTATTTATCAGTATAGGATTGTGGAGATTATTAAGCTATTGATTGATATCATGAACTGATTTACGTGAGATCATCATTGAAAACCTCGGAACACTGGACGGACGTTTCGTCCTATTGTGAGACCCCTCAGCAATGCGCACTCACGATCCCGTAAGCGGGATTCGCACCCAGGGTACTCAGCCTCGAGCGCGAACGCTCAACCTCTACACCAATAAGCTGTATGCAGCGGTGTTAATGTCTCACCTCGACTAATCTATGAAATTGCGCAGATACCTGTTTCTAACTTACACGAATTAGCTCCACTGGTCGCGCCCTCTTACTAGGACTCCGAGAATTTCCTCACGAAACTAATCAATAGCGAGCACATTTAATTAGTTTATTTAGTTAATTGTCCAATCTGGTGCGAATGTATATCAATCTAAGCTGTTATATTCCACATTAATGGAATGAAGGAAAAAATGAACAGTGTGGAAAGCATTGTGTTATGTTCTGTTGTGTTGTGTTCTCAGGAAAGCGTTATGAACGGTTTCATGTGTATAGGCAGATATCGGTAGGGTCAATGATGTGACATAAAAATGATACATTAACCGTGGAATTTTAAGACAATAAAATGATTTGAATGAGATCATGAATCGATTGATGTTTGACCACCATTGAAAACCCGGAAGCATTGGACAGCCGTTTCGTCATATTGTGGGACTCCTCAGCAGTTCACAACCCCATATTGAAAATTATTTCAACCTTAAACCTACTGATCTGTATGAAGTATGTGTCTAGTGAACGATGAATGGTTAAAGTCTGTGATTAAAATCTTTCATGATCGTATAAAGATTATACACAACTGTCAATTGTTATTAGTGACATTGTAGTGAATGAGAACACATAAGTGGGGACAATCGAATATATTCGAATATAACATGACAGAATCTCTTAGTAAAATGTAAGAACCCTACAATAAATACTTCAGTTGCAAAATATCTACCAATCGTTTCAGACTTCATTGTTATTTCCTTTTATACACCAATCATTCTCTGCTCTTTGATCTTCTTAACCTTCTGCCGCTAGGTATTTCACTTTTAGTTGATGATACATACTACTTATATCTGTCGACATGAGTAGCGTATACTACAACATGAATAAAAACTTAGTTCAGTTAGAGATTACCCTAACTTTTTACATTAACAAGAAACGTATATATAGGTAGATATTTTCATCGTTTCTTATAGCTCCAACTATTACTTCACAGACTATCTAATCTTATTAGTAAGTTTACTTTCTCAAACTCATATCAACTTTAAACTTTGAATATGACTATTAAAACTATGAATACACTATTGTGGCTAAAAGAGTTACAATTTTAGAATCATAATGACGCTACAGTTAATATACATCAATAAAAAAATGAAGGAAACGACGCTTACCTGCATTGAAATGATACTCTTTCATTTTTATACGTATAACATTGACCACCATTGAGACAGTAATCTTTATCTTCATCTGAACAAGGTATTAATTCATCAACTGAATAAAGTAAAGGAAACAATTGTATGATATATGCATGAAATCATTACTTAATCAATATCAATGTATTCTGTTTGTTTAAACTCGGAATCCTGAAGGGAAGCGGAAAAGTGGAAGGCCAAAGAACACATTATATAGGGAAATAGAAGCAGATATGAAAAGGATGAATAACAACTGGAAAGAGCTGGAAAGGATTGCCCATGGCAGGGTTGGATGGAGAATGCTGGTGAGTGGCCTATGCTCATTCACGAGGAGTAACAGGCGTAAGTAAGTAAACTTAGTATTAATGATTGAACTTTACTGATCAACTTGTATTGTGTTAACTGGTTTAAATAAGTCAGAATCTCGATAACAATCATTTGAATTATCGTATAGTATTAGATATTCATAGCTAACAAGTACCAAATAGAATGTATTCTAGATCCAGGACTTCCTTGTCAACTGTTTTAAACTGTCCCATTTCTATCATATAACTTATCTAAGTTTCTGCAAGATTATCCAATCAGTTTTCTGTAAATGAAATTACAACAACCTTTTATCCCTAAACTTTTATTCTTAGATTTTATTTAGTTTTTCTTATCATTTAAGCATCTACATGAATACTTCTGAACAAAGGATATAATAGTTTAGTTAGTAAAGGAACTTGTGGTGCTTCATCTCACTTGTATGTGTTATTCTTTAAATACTGATAAACTATACTACTACCTACTACTTACGCCTGTTACTCCTAATGGAGCATAGGCCGCCGACCAGCATTCTCCAAACCATTCTATCCTGGGCCTTCTTTTCCAGTCCCATCCAATTCTTGTTCATTTTTCTCGTGTCCATCTCCATTTCCCGACGTAATGTGTTCTTTGGGCTTGCCTTGTGACAAAGTTGGGTGCTTTCCTCAATGTGTGTCCTATCCACTTCCAGCACTTCTTCCTGATTTCTTCCTCAGCTGGGATCTGGCTTGTTCTCTCCCACAGTAGGTTGTTGCTAATAGTGTCCGGCCAACGGATCTGAAGTATTTTGCGCAGACAACTGTTAATAAACACCTGCATCTTCTGGATGATGGATTTCGTAGTTCTCCAGGTTTCTGCCCCATACAGTAGAACTGTCTTGACATTTGTATTGAAAATCCTGACCTTGGTGTTGGTTGACAGTTGCTTTGAGTTCCAGATGATCCTCAGTTGTAAATATGCTGCACTTGCTTTGCCGATCCGCGCCTTCACATCTGCATCAGATCCACCCTGTTCATCAATGATGCTGCCCAGATATGTAAAGGTTTTTGCATCTTCCAAAGCCTCCCCGTCAATTGTGATTGGATTGGTGCATGCTGTGTTGTATAGGAGAATCTTGCTTTTCCATTTGTGTATATTGAGACCTACTGCTGCTGAGGCTGCTGCTACACTAGTTGTCTTCTCCTGCATTTGTTGTTGCGTTTGCGATAGAAGGGCCAGATCATCTGCGAAGTCTAGATCGTCCAACTGCATCCTAGATGTCCATTGTATCCCGTGCTTCCCTTCAGACGTTGGCGTTTTCATGATCCAGTCAATCACCAGGAGAAAGAGAAAGGGTGAGAGTAAGCAACCTTGCCTAACACCGGTCTTCATTTCGAACGAGTTTGTCAACTGTCCTGCATGCACGATTTTTCAGTGTAATCCATCATATGAACTCTGTATGATATTGACTATCTTCTGAGGCACGCCGTAGTGTCGAGGAAGATTCCATAGTGTTGTTCTGTCCACGCTATCAAATGCCTTTTCGTAGTCAATGAAGTTGATGTAGAGTGATGAATTCCATTCAATTGACTGTTCCACAATGATCCGTAGAGTTGCGATTTGGTCTGTACACGATCGATCCTTCCGGAATCCTGCCTGTTGGTCTCGAAATTGGGCGTCTACGCAGTTTATTATTTTGTTTAACAATACCCTGTTGAAGACTTTTCCCGGTATTGAGAGAAGAGTGATGCCTCCGTAGTTATCACAGTTGCTCAGACTGCCTTCTCCGGTGTTTTGATCAGAAGTCCTTCTTTACAGTCTGTTGGTACTTGTTCCCCATTCCGAATCTTATTGAAGAGAATGTGGAGTATCCTTTCAGTTGGCGCTACGTCTGCTTTCAGTGCCTCTGCTGGAATGTTGTCTGATCCCGCTGTCTTGGCACTCTTGATTTGTCTGACGGCCATGCTGATAAACTGTAGAGAGTCGTTGAAGGTCAAGTATTACTTGTAGCTCTTCAGCAATGAGAGCACAAAACTCAACCAAAGGCAGAACTAATCGCTTTCTTGTCTGGCAGTAACTACCTTAAAATTTTAGGATTTAGTTTTTTTAATGGTATTATAGCGAACAAGAGCATAAGTGTGGACAACCAAATGTATTACAATACAAATTTAAAGAATCACTTTGTAAAATCTGAGAATCATACAATAAATACTTTGTTTGCAAAATGTCAAATAATTGTCTCAGATTTGACTGATTCTTCTTTTCCATACCAATCACACTCTGTTCTCATTCTATTCTCTTCGATCGTTTTGACATTGTGCTGCCAGGTATTGCACTTTTAATTGATGATAAATACTACTTTTATCTATTAACATCAGTAGTACACACCACAGTATTTTCATTCACTCAAATGGTTGTATTCCTAATGAAGTTAGTCAGACTATTGAATTAACATTCATGTTTGAAGTACAGAAATTGACTAAACCTATGTCTATCCAATTCGATTCCATTTCATTCTTCGAATAAATCTATCATTCACATTGTGGATTCATTATTTATAGGATGTCAAGTGCAAATTATAATCATATTCTCAGTTGTTATGACGATCGTATTATTTATTAACAAAATGGATAATCACGAATGTAACACAAGCTACGTTAATGAGTCTTTAACAGATTTTCTAAAGTTAATGACCGAGTACCGGATTTAAAAGGCTTGTGAGCAGACAACAATACTTAGCTACTTACTCACTCATGTCTGTTACACCTCATGAAGGAGAATAGGTCGCCCACCAGTCATTCTCCATTCAACTCTGTCCTAGACAATATTTTCCAGTTGCTATTCATCCTTTTCATATCTGATTCGAGTTCGCGACATAGTGTGTTCTTCGACTGTCCTCTTTTCCGTTCCCCTTCAAGATTTCAAGTTAGTGCCTGCCTCGTAACGCAGTTCGATGATTTCCGTAATGTATGTACTATCCACTTCCAACGACTTTTACTAATTTCTTCTTCATATGGAAGTTGGTTTGTTCTATCTCACTCTGGGCTATTACTGATGGTATCCGTCCAATGGACATTCAATATATTGTGTAGACAATTGTTTAGAAATATTTGTACCTTCTTGTGGATGATTGTGGTGGTTCTTCATGTTTCAGCTCCGTACAGTGAAGATAACTGTCTTGACATTCTTATTGAAAATTCTGACTTTGATATTAGTTGAAAAACAGCTGTTTTGAGTTCGATATATTCTTCAACTGTTGGAATGCTGTCCTTACTTTGCCAATTTTCGCCTTTACGTCCGCATGAAATCCTCCTTGTTCATCGATGAAGCTATTCAGTTACGTGAATGTTTCCACCTAATCCAGAGTTTCTTTATCAAATATGATTGAGTTGATGTTCTCAAATAGAGAACAATGTTTTATATTAATTGTTATGTGATTTAATGTCCATTATAAATTTTATATTTATCTCAACAAACCCTAGGGCTAGTAACAGTTGTTTATCTCGCTATTACTCTTAATGGTGATTAAATTCTATCTATCAGTGTAATCACTTTACCTAATTGACAATAGATTGGGCATATAGATGTTAATAAAATGTATCAAAGCATTATGAATACAACCTATTTACATACATTTGTAGTTATGAAATGATATTCACTTACCCATTAATTTTTCGTCTGTTCTATTATTTTGTTGAACTGGGAAATAAAACAGGAAAAAAGAAGAACTGACAGTTTAAATGTTATCGTTTACAAGATAACAACAACTTTGTCAATTGTTGTTGCGAAATATAAATATTCAAGGTGATAGTTGGAAATAGTCGATAGAGATCTCTACTATTTGGTACCCATCATCAAGGTATATTTGTTATGTTGAGGAACTATAGTGGTCCTTAGAGGATTCATTCGCTTAATGCTCAGCTTGATAGTTTAAGACGTTACCACTGAACTATTCAGGTTACGATTGATATCCTATAGGACTGAGATAAATTTATAATCCATTGACTATTGAGTGTTATCCATTGTCATGTTTGATGGAATTCTAGAGATCAAGTTGGTCACTAGTTTGATTAGGTCGAAATCAAGTGTCATAACTTGTGATGAGAATTCAATGTGAATTTGATCGAAACTAGAAAAAAATGATTTGCGATACGTGATATTGGTCACTAATCAGTTGTAATTATATTCAAGATGTTTGTCAGGCAAGAACAGATGGCATTGTAAGATGAAATGAAGTTATTCAATCTTTTTGTGTTTTCTCTAAATCTTACACAAACATCATATTGCTCTATAAAACTGTAATTTTTATGTGTGACTTGTATCAAGTCATTTAGTTCATGAGTAGAAAGTCCTGGGTTCAAATACCACGAGGCGGAATTATGGATGCGCACTGCTAAGGAGCCTCATAAGAGGACGAAACAGCTGTTCAGTGTTTCCAGGTTTTACATGGTGGTCTAGTTTCAATTAACTCATCATCTTAACTACTAAAATTACTATAATATCCACAAAAACCCCTTCTGATAATAATTCTAAATGCTTTTCATAGTCATACTGTAGTGAACGAGGACATAAGTGGGAGCAACCAAATATACAAAATTTCTTAATAAAATCTGAGAACCATACAATAAATACTTCATTTGCAAAATGTCAATCGGTTGTCTCAAACTTGACTGTTTCGTTCGCAAATGTCAATCAATCGTCTCAAACTTCATTGTTCTCTTGGTTCCATACTAATCATTTTTTGTTCTCGTTCTCTTTCTTCAGTCTTCTTAACATTCTGCCGCCACTTTCAATTGATGATACATACTATTTATATCTGTCAACATCAGTAGTACACACCACAATACAACTTTAATGAATAGATCGACAGATTAAACGCAAGATTGATCATGATGTAACCGAGTATAACTAAGGTGCACTAATTGACATGATTACACTAGACGAATTAACGAAGGGGATATTAGTTGCCAGAATGATAACAGTGGAATATTTATTATTGTAGAGAGAACGATACTTATGATGAATGAGAAAATGATTGAAATAGTATCTTGTAATGAAGTGTTTACCAAAACCAGATATTGAAACGAAGTTATGTAATTATCGTCTGAAAAGTGTTGAGCTGAAAACAATTGTCTATTTGTTAGCTATTAAGAAGAGAATAATCAAAAGTTATAAAAATGACTAATAATCCCCACAACCCTATATTGATAATTACCATGTGCTCACTAGTGACTAGATTCGTGAGGGAATTCTCGGAGTTCTAGTGAGAAGACGTGACCAGTGAAGCTAATCCGTGTCGGGTAAAGACAGGTATCTACCTCAGTACAGTGGAAAATGGTCGCACAGCTTCGTAGTTTGGTTGAGGGAAGACATTAACACCGCTGGATACGGCTTATTAGTGTAGAGGTTGAGCGTTCGCGCGCGAGACTGAATGCCCTGGGTTCGAATCCCGCGAGCGGGATCGTGGGTGCGCACTGTCAAGGAGGAACCCCAAGATAGGACGAGACGTCCGCCCAGTGTTTCCAGGTTTTCAAGGATGGTATACCATCAATCGGTTCATGATCTCAGTAAGAAAAATAGCTAAATAATAGTTGCGAAAACAAATAAGAAATAGTATAAGTATAATATTTTTTCACAAAGACCATAGATTATGGAATATAGGAAGGAACGTTGAGATCATAGATTAGAATAAGGGACTGAACATACTGTTTTTGTATACAAAAGTTAGGCTTAAACTTGTGGGTAAAAATATCCTCTGCTGTAACTAAGTTTTTCACTTGACTTCCTTTTGAACCGTGTCTTCTGATTGTATGTGTGATTTTAAGAGGACATTCAGTGAAGCGAAATGACCAGAACTAACTAAATGCTCCAAGATTTAATTCTTGACTGACATCTATAATCCTTTAGGAACCAGCCAGGGTAATATTCGGAGTTGGGTTACAAAAGAGCTAGCTTTGTAGGCAAGTATTACGCGTTTCACATGAGCAAGTGAACTGATAGAAACATATTCATTTGACCCAAAGTGGGAGCTTATCCTTCACAAAACTACAAATCATATGCGGACTAGAAAAGATTTCAGCTGAATGGAATTTTTCGCTCAAAGATCTAGAAAGTCTGTTTTACAGATTTTCTGTTTCAATATCTTCCTCAAACTTTATAAGCTATAAATGTGATTGTATAGATTAAGTAAATGGGATAGTCAAAATGAAATTTTTTTTATTGAATTCCCTTCATTGTGAGATTGAGTTAGATAATATCCTCTCTGTTCTTCCAATGTACGTGTTACGAAACATATAGGTAACAAAATATAATTGATTGAAAGTAGCTAGAAGAGATTTGTTACTCAAGTCAGCCTTTTATTCCATACACAACTATCAAAGCGATAGAAAGAAAATAAAACTCAATCCTAGCTCTAAGTAAACGCTTATTTTAAGCTCTTGAATCATACCCTTTTAAGTAGAAGTTTAACAGATACTTAATTTTTGAAGGCAAAAGGTTGTTAAGAAATCTCATCTATCGCCATAAAGTTCTTGTTCATTAACTTTATGGGATAGCTATTACTGAGTAACTTACCTTTGAACACTTTCCAACTCGTTAATAAAAGAATCATTGCAATATAGTCTAGTCACCATCGAGAACAGTACATTAACAAGGTTTATTTCATAAGAGATTGGACAAAACAATAAATGTTTAAATATTGATTTATTCATGAGTTATTAAGGTAGCTGGAGTGTGAAATCGAAAGGATTGTGAACAAAATAAAACGAAAAACATACAGCTGACAAACACATCTCAAGTGAGGAACGGAGTCAGATAAAGCTGTTTACTCTCTCTCCTTTCCTTTTTCTTCTCGTGGTCGACTGGATTATAAAGAACTTGACAACTGAGAGGAAATACGGAATACAATAGACGGCTGGAAATAAATTAGAAGATTTGGACTATACAGATGAACTATACATATCAACAAATACAGATGAAGACAATTAGTGTAGCAGCAATCTTTGCATCAGTAGGCCTCAACATAAACAAGGGAAAAAGCAAGATCCTCAAATGCAACACTAGAACACCAATGCAATCACCCTTGGTAGAGAAACTCTGGAAGAGGTGAAAATATTCACGTAACTGAATAGCTTTATCAATGAACAAGGAGGATTTGATGCGGACGTAAAGGCGAAAATTGGTAAAGTAAGAACAGCATTCCAACAGTTGAAGAATATATCAAACTCAAGACAACTGTCAACCAATATTAAAGTCGCGATCTTCAATACGAATGTCAAGACAGTTAGTTCCACTGTAAGGAGCTGAAACTTAAAGAACTACCACAATTATTATCAAAAGTGTACAAGTATTTCTAAACAATTGTCTAAATAATATATTGAATGTCCGTTGGACGGATACCATCAGCAACAGCCTACAGTGAGAGAAAACAAATCAACTTCCAGTTGAATAGGAAATTAGTAAAATTCGTTGGAAATGGATAGGACATACATTACGGAAATCATCAAATCGCATCACAAGACAGGCACTAACTTGGAATCGTGAAGGAGGATGGAAAAGAGAAAAACTGTGGGAAACACTATCTCGAGAGTTGGAAACAAAGATCAAAAGAATTAATAGTAAGTGGTAACATCTTGAAATAATTGCCCACGATAAGGTTGGATGGAGAATGTTGATAAGCGACCTTTACTCCTCTATGAGGAGCCGTAAGTAAATAAGTATTAACTATCATAGGACTCTTCTCAGCCATCGACACTATAACTCAGAACATTTATTAAATCACTACTCATATAAAATTGTACATACAAATACATACTTAATATCTTATACACCTATTTCCTTTTTATTGACTTGACGAAAACAGGTAAAGTAATTTTGGCAAAGTAACATGAACTCGCTATACATTTCGAATAATCTGGTCACACATATACTTCTCAGGCATTTTTATATGAAAATTAATAAAGGTCATTTAAATGAAAGTTCAAGTAAAATAACAAAGGGGGAGAGAAAGAATAAGAAATTGTCGCGTTATCCAAGGCCATAGAATGACTTAAAGATTACCAAGGTAAATTCAAGGTTACGACAAATTGTTTTTGCACACATAAGGGGGGTTTAAATTTACGAATAGCCAAGGCTTCAATAAACTTAAGAATTTGTCCTTGACAATTTCTATACAATGTTTTAAAAGCTGTATTAATGTTAATTTTGTGCTCTGTTTCAATTAGATGTTTCGTTATCGATGAACCTGGTTTTCTACCTCCCACGTTGATCGGGCCATTTGACACTAATTGGTTTTGAAGCCATCTAGGCACATGTCCAATGACCCTTCATCGCATTATTCGACTACTCCTCCCAATGTATGTGTCCACACAAACATGCAAATACATCGCATTTTTCAGATCGACTCCGTCTTCTCATTGTTCTATCGAAATATATAAAAGGAACTAATTGCTTTAACATGAACTTATTTTATATTTTGTTGAGCTGCTTATTCCAAAGTGTTTCATATGAAGTTTTAGAAGTTCTTCTAGCTTTCGTTACAATTAAAGTCCATGTGAAAAGTAGCTGGTTTTTACATTTTAGATGAACTGGTTCTGTGGAGATAATTTGAATTTGTAAGCGATAATTGTCATACATTGATCTCTGTCGAGGTATAATTATAAACTAGGGTGAACTGGTTAACCTTTTTAGTTGTAATTAGA